AACCGAACATTGGATGTTGAAAATGATCCATTTCGACCATGTGAAGAAAATGAATAAGTACTTGGTCCTGAGGTACCATATATGAGTGCAATAGGGGCTCTTATGTATCTTGCTAATTGCACCAGACTAGATATATCTTTTGCTACCAACTTATTAGCAAGATATAACTCGTCACCTACGATGAGACACTAGAATGGAATCAAGCATATATTTTGTTATCTCCAAGGAACAATCGATCTGGGATTATTTTACTCAAATGATAAAAAAATATGAAATGATCGGTTTTGCAGATGCAGGATATTTATCAGACCCACATAAGGCGAGATCTCAGACTGGCTACGTTTTCACGATTGGTGGAACTGCATTTTCTTGGCGCTCTCAGAAACAAACACTAGTTGCTACATCTTCAAACCATGCTGAAATCATTGCACTGCATGAAGCAACTAGGGAAAGCATCTGGCTCAGAAACATGACTCAACACATTCAACAAGCCAGTGGATTCTCGAATAATAAAGACCCGACAGTGATATTCGAAGACAGTGCAGCATGTGTCGCTCAGACCAAAGAAGGATACATCAAGAGTGACAGAACTAAACATATCCCACCAAAATTCTTCTCATACACTCAAGAGCTTGAAAGGAACAAACAAATCAAGGTTCAATACATCCGATCAAGTGATAACGCAGCAGATTTGTTTACAAAGGCGCTCCCAACTACAACGTTCCGAAAGCATGTCCATAACATTGGAATGAGACATCTCCGAGATTTACGCAGATGATAACTCGAGGTGGAGCATGTGCGGCTGTACTCTTTTTTCCTTATCTCAGTTTTTCCCCACAGGGTTTTTCTGGATAAGGTTTTTAATGAGGCAGCATAAACGCACATTGCATAGTGGTTATTCCAAGGGGAAGTGTTATAATATTAGCAAGTGGAATAAACCACTATGCAAAATAGTGACATTTCACTATTTGTAAGTATGTGTATAGTAAATGAGTTGTGGGTATGAATAATTTATGTAAAATGTGTCGGTAGAATTGCCTATAAAAGGCACTGCAAATGAAGCGAAGTAGTGTGCATTCAGAAGAAGAAAAGATATTCAGTATAATTTATATCCGGTTTCTATTTTGTGTTCTTTATCTTTCCCGTTTTTATAACAAATTTTATTTTATTTTATTTTTTTTATGATTTCAAGAATTAAGATGTATTTACCAAATACTCCGAAGCCCATCATATCCTATCATCTTACCTTGGACTTGACATTGTTATTTACACACCTCAAGATTTGTCCTTTAGAATACCCATTTACACCCCCTCTTTTGCTTCCCACCCTTTTAACACAAAAATATATAAAAAATAACATCCCCTCTCATCCAAGTTTAATAAGCAAATCCCATTACCTTTGATTTTTGTTTTAAAAGGGTTGGAATAACCAAGAAAAAGAAAGGAAGAGAAGGACCTTTGGAAGAGAGAGAGAGAGAGAGGAGAGAGAAATAGAAAGGGAAGTGAGAGGATGATGAGCATACCTTCTCTTTTCATTTATGCATATTCCTCTCATTAGATCTTGCTTGGTTTGTACCCCATTTCCAATCTGTTTCTCTTTCTTCCGATGGTGAGTTCTTCAATGGATGAATCGAAGATTAATGATTTGTTTTTG